ATGACATTAATGTAATACTCTAATTACACGATATATATTATATAATTCATCCTGTCAGAAAAACATGTCTTTGGATGGATAATTACTGTGTTGAGATTCTTCCAGGACCATTCTGTACCGTTAACTTGGTTCTGTAGCTTCTCTGTCATTACTCTCTCAGTATCCATATAATCAAGATGTGTGAGGTATACGAGAGTTTCTCGCATGTTCTTATAGAGGTTTATAGAATCAGTATCTTTCATAAACTCTCTGACAACCTCCCCGTTTTCATTTTCTACAACAAGTACTTCTTCGGGTTTTGCCATTCTGCTAATCATGATATAACGCACTTTTGTTAAAACTGGGCAGTAGAACACTCTACGAGTGCCGACATTCATTTTAGTCACGAAAAGTGGCGATGTAGTCACAAAAGGATTTTCTTTGTACAGGTCAGCAGCCAATCCGTTCCAGTATTCCAAACAGATTTTAAATATTTCAACTTCCTCAACTTCAGAAATAAGGACGAGATAGTGCAGTGCTTTTAACAGTGTCTCATTTAATTGCTTCTTTTCAATCAGCTCAGCATGGTCTTTGAGATAAGTGCAGAGAAACATGGCTAAATTTTGAATAAAATTCTGCTCCTGGTCTTGACCAGCTCCATACGCTTCCCGTATGTTAGTTTCCAGTGGAAGCATGAGTTCCAGCTGCTGCATTGTATTAATAAATAATATGACAAACATGTCATCATATGTCGTCCCAGAGGAGACAGCCGCAACTTCAGTGAGACATTTTAGAGTAACATTTCGAAATATTGGTACATTCAAAAACTGTAAGAAAAAATTTTATTTAGATAATGGCAGAATAAAAATAATTTGTTTAACAAAAGAAAGGAATACAATCGCAGGGAACATGCGTAAAAAATAATTTTACCTTGAATATTAAAGTAGTTATTAATTTTGTTTCAAAAATATATCCAAGAGGTATCCAGTTTAAAAACCTTAGTAGTGTCTCTAATGTGACCGCTACTAATGGAACATTCTGCGAATTGTCCAACACAAACTGGCAAAGCTGGAATATTTGTGAAAATTCACTGCACATTGTATCTTTTAAGTGCTTTGCCTTTGTCTGGGTCATTTGGCCACTAGAAAAGTCAAATACTTCCTCTGACAAAAGTTTCAAGATGGCCATGTTATTTTGACAGAGACTCTCGTTAGTTTTACTTGCTCCAACAATGTCACCAATAAAAGATTCCCAATTTTTTGGCCACTCACGTTTTAGCACCTTTATAAGAGAAACATTAATAATTAATAATTTATGGCTTATAATTAATAAATTACCATTTATTATAATTAACATAGCATCTTTATAAAAACAATAATTACTATAATAATTAATATGTAATAATAAATTTTAGATCACTTTTCGAACAACTCACCTGCACGAGAATCATGTTAAGTTTATTTAAGTAAACCTTAGAAGCTTCCATTGTTTCAGGATCACTGCTTGTTTTTATGATAAGGCCTACAATATACTTTTTTATACCTTCACATTGATTCCTTGGTAATACTTTCCATCGTGTTTTTATAACTTGTTCCAATATTTGCAAACCATAGTATTTTGTTTGCTGATTCTGTACAATAACACATTGATCAAGTTAATTGCAAATACATAAATGTATAATGAATAATAAAAAAATAGATATATAACTGCATTTACCTGTGAAAATTCTAGAATAGTATCTACGCGTGTCCAAGCATTTGGATGTTCTTTAAGTGTTGTTAACACTTCCTGAGCGACTCTTTGTTGCTCACCTATCCCAGTATACATACATCCTACTATATTGTCGAGTAATGTTATATCCAATTTCTGATTAAAGTCCAATAATTTAGAGGCTTGCTCAGCCAAAGTTGCCATTATGTGCAGTATTTATGTCCTCCCGTATATTTTATCCTCTAAACGATATATAACATATTATAATAAATTTAGATAGATGTATATTAATCCTATGGTACATATAAAATTTGTATAATTGAATATATTAATATTGACTTGTGTGCTTACATTCAGTATTAAACTGTAATAAGGTAAAAATTTTAAATACAAAGGAAATTTAATATATTTTTTTTCATTTATACAATTAATAATATAATCTGTTTTATTTAGTAAAAAATAGCAAAAACTAATGAACTATGTGCGGTTCTTTCATAGAAATATAAGCACATTAATTATAATATTAATACACTTAATTATACTGAAGCTGACATATTGATAGTTTCATTTAATGTTGATTTCTATTGCATATTACATAAAATCTAAAACATTCAATATTAAGACAAAAGCAAGAGGCACAACGTAGCAAATATTTACATATAAGTTAACGCTATTTGTTTTCTTCCATAAAACACTACAGTTCTTAATAGTGTATCAATAATTTTACATACAAAAAACAATATTGATATTGTGTGACGAGAGAGATATCAAAGTCATAAAAAGAACAGTAAATACAATATTTGGAAACAATATAAAGCAGGTATAACAAAAGTAGCATGGCACGGTGTTTGTTGCATATTTATTCGTATGTTAGATCGAAAATGAAAAAGATCGTAACGTGGGACAGGCACAACGAGCATTGAGACCGGTTGAAGCCGAGCAAGGGCTCGATTGCAACGTGCTGCGAGGAAAAGGTCACCGTACCGCGACCGTCCGACCTAACCTATATTTGACAATCAAAAGCAAGGTTATGTGAATTATCGAGTCCAATTGTTGCATGTTAACGTAGACAACTTATTCTTGACGATGAGATTTGTCGGGCAGCACATGGACTACGACGGTATGTCTATGAAAGACCCGCGATGCCGTCTCGTACTGGCATTTTGGCGTCCCCGCAGCGAGTTTGTTCGTTGCGTCGTTGAACGGCGAAGCAGGCAAAGTGCCGCGAGAACGACGCGCCAACTTACCGCATCCACTTTTATACAAGACTCTCCGTTCGAAAATGAAAAACGCACACCGTTTTCCGCACCGACGATCACGGTGTATCGATGCAAATCACAAGCATAAAAGGGTCAAACACACAACCACCGATTCCCGCGCGCGACCAATTTCGTTCCTCGTTTCACACACACTCGTCATTCCACACTATGTCACTCTCTAGTGCGCGCTCCCTCTCTCGCTCGCATCATTCCTCTCTAGTTCGCTCACACTCTTTCTCTCTTTCTCCCCCTCTTTCGCACCCTCTCTCTCTCCCTTCTCAGTCACTCAACCTCTCTTACTCGTTCTTTCCTCTCTTGTTCTCTCTTACTCAATCTTCTACACGTACTCTCTCGTCTCTCCCTTTTCTGTCTTCGCTACTTTTGCGACGGTCACCAGCGAGGAGAGAAGATTGACTCCACGAAGTCACGCGAGATACCCACCGAGGCCGTTCTTCGTTGTAACCTCGTGCCTCTAACCTCATACGAGCCGCGTCTTTCTCTCGTTGAAGACCGATCGGAAACAAGCGCGAAAGGCGCTCGCACCTACTACGTCTTCTTGAAAAACCAACCTCAAGATTTTCGAAAATAATAACAAGATGGCCGGAAAGTTTACGCGACCATTGCGGATAAACTATGATCACGATTGGCCCTCTCGACCAATCCGTAGCCAATCGACGTGACGCTAAACGGCTCTTTCCGGTGACGTTAGACTAGCGTCGTTGACGTCATGTATGTAACACGTGCGCTTAATTTTGACTTGAAAATTCATATCTCGATAAATGAAACTAAATTCATATAATATGTATGAATAAAGATTGTTCTATATTAGTCACCGATCACATAAGTGGGTTTGTTTTTTTTCAAAACACGAAAACTGCACTAATACTGAACTGAACTGAGCTAGGACTGGTGAGACGTGGTTCATAGCAATGCAGAAATGTAAGTAAGAATAAAAGAACGCCGCAACTTAGATAATTTGGCACATTTCATTACATATATTTTCTGTAAGGCGGAACAGCAAGATTTTACCAATCGCGTTGCTCGTTTGAAATAGTACGGTTACAGATGACCAAATCGAGCAATGCGATTGGTCGACACCTCACTGTTACGTCTTACAAAAAATATATGCGATAGCTTTTACGTAGAATTGTGTGTTATATATTTATTTTTATGATTAGATTAAGTTTCGGCGCGAAATTGGATTGAACTGGCTGTACTAACTTAAGATTTGAGGCAGCCATTGGCTGCGTTCAGCAGAACAAAGTGATCAGTGAACGCTTAGTGATTCTCGCTCCTGATTGGTAAATACTTCTGGGTCTATGAAGAATCTAAAAGAATGCTCCAATCACAGACAATAATCATTAAGCGCTCACTGATCATTTTGTTCTACTGAACGCAGCCATTGCAATGCACTATTGCACTGATCACTGTTGCACTTTAAAAAAGAATAACGATACGTTATTTCTGACAAAAATAGGGAATTTTTGCAATAGTGTCTCTTAAATATGGTAAACGTTGATTGTGAATACTATTGGTCGCGTACATTGCGACGTTATTTCTAAGCGAATAACGTTCACGATTTAAGTTTAGTGTATTTAGAGACGGTATTGCAAAAATTCCCTATTTTTGTTGGAAATAACGTCGTATTCCTATTCTTTTTCAAAGTGCAACAGTGATCAGTGCAATAGTTCACTGCAATGGCTGCACTAGATCTTAAGTTAGTACAGCCAGTTTAATGCAGTTTTACGCTGAAACTTAATCTAATCATAAAAATAAATATACAACACACAATTCTATGTAAAGGCCATCGCATATACTTTTCAATTTACGTTTACCGTATCTGAGAGATGGTATTGCAAAAATTCCCTAATAAAGCCGGTTACACACAGAACACGTCAGGGGCTCGATTCTTGACGGCGTGCGAATGAGATGCGCATGCGAAAATCTATATTATATGTTACATGAACTATACATTTTTGCATACGCATCTCACTCACACGTCGTCGAATCGAACCCCAGTGGTGCGATTCTGTAACTCGTTATTGGAGTTAACGACACTTTCGTTATCGTTGCGCAGCTTTTGTGTACCGTAGAAAAGCTGCGCAACAATAACGAAACTGTCGTTAACTCCAATAACGAGTTACAGAATCGCGGTAAGGCCGGTTGCATACAGCACGCGGCAACGCTTATCGCGTGGCGGAAATTGGTTAGGGAATATCGCAGTAACCAATCAATCTCATAAACTACGTTTACATGGCAAAGTTAATCCGAATTAGTAACAACCGTAGTTAGTGAATTCTTTGATTCGATTGGTATATTCTTTTAGATCTAAAAATATATTCTAATCGGATTCGAGACTACACTAATTACGATAGTTACCAGGTGCTATTCTGTACATGCCTACCGATAGTTGTCGGTGTCGTTAACAGCGTCGGTCGACAAATATGAATAAATGCGATTCTGTACTCTACTCTCAACGACAAATGTTTAACGATACTTATTGTTAATGTACGACAAATATCGTTAAATTTAACGTGACTTCCCTTACGTGACGGAAATGTTCTACCAACAAATTTCGAAGGAAAATATATGTTCTTTTTAACTACAGTTGTGTTCGGAAATTCGCTGTCGGTAGGCTTATAGTGCGTGAGCGCCCAAAACGAACGCAGGCTTAGAATGAGAAACAAAACCTAAAAAGGAATAAAGATTGTAGCTTGTAAAAGTGAGTATTTCTCAGATATTGTTTTATATATATATACCTAATATATAATAAAAATATATTGCAAATATCGCATATGTATATATATATTGTTGCGCCCTTGCGCAAGAAAAATAACACGGAATTAACAAAACGAAAGAAGCTTTATTTTAATACGTCCATTCGTCGTGACAAGACCAGGGCGACTCTCTTTCATCTCTTCTTCTTTCCTTTTTTTATTTATTAAACAACCTCCTTGACAACAACAGCTGTCAAACAATCTCTACTCGATTCCTTTGCAGTCCACTCCCAGGAGCGTGGGGATAACATGTCTCCCAAAGACACGGGCGCAGCAATATACATATTTAAAGTGCAATGTTTTCTTTATTTTTTAAGTTATTTGGAAAAGATATGCAAATGCTATTACTTAGGTTAAAGTATGTGACATATTATTTTTTATACAGATAAAATAGGTATTGAATAAAGGTTAAGTAAGAGTCGACATGGATCTTGTTATTAATAATATATATATGAGTATTTAAATATTACACGATTAACATATCTATGAAGGTTAAATACAAATGTATATGATAATACAATAATGCAAAGTTATTGCTTTATTTAACAAAACTTAGAAAATTGTATCTGGCAAACAATAGGCAATTATTAGTATAAAATTAAAATTAAAAACATTTTCATGACACGAATAACTACTTATGATTTTAAAGACATAAGTGCTTCAAACTTGAAGAAAACTTCTCTGACAGCACATAATATTTAAAATATTTAATATAATTTTTAAAATATTTATTAATATTATGTCTATCTTTTTACCATTGTCTTGTCGAGTATTGACTACTTCATGAGTGAATAGTTAAAGTGAATAGAAATCACTTAACACAAGGGTCAGATTATATTTGTTCAGATATTACTTACTTTACGATATATTTTCTGCACTTTGACTATGTGTGTTTTCTTTAATATAATCTAAATGAAATCTTAAAGATAAAAAAAATCTTAAAAGAAATCTTAAAAGAAATCTTAAAAGATCATTGTTATTTTAGCTGAATTTCTTGTTTTAAGTAATATATATATTTTGTTATAGCATTGCAAAATGGCAGAAGGATTCCTAGCATGGGATATTTTATATTTGGAGCATCGCATGAGGCGTTTAGAACGTCGTATGGAGAGAAAGAATTGGAGAGAATTGCATGATCCTTTTGATCTCCACAATGTCGAATTTCTCAAGTTATATAGACTAAGTCGAGAGATCGTAGATTTAATTGATCGAGATAATAGATTTAATTGAAACATTAAGACCAAGATTGGAACATGAGCGACCAGGTGGTCTTAGTCCTGAACGTCAGGTATATAGAATACTTTATGTTACATCTTTACACAAATTAATTTTTTTTAAATGTGCTCTATTTTGCCAAAAATAGTGATTTTGAAAGCTTTGTATATAAAATACAAGTGATAAAATAAAAATAATTTTTTAAAAGCATAATATTTTTTAATTTGTTACAAATTTATAAATATTTTTTATAGGTTTTAGCCACTTTAAGGTTTTATGCTGTTGGATGTTTTCAAAGTGCTGTAGGAGAACAATAGGATATTGCAATAAGCCAGCCTTCTGTTAGTCGCTGTATACGAAAAATAACTGACGCAATAAATGATCTTCTTCTATGACAATGGGTACGATTCCCCATGACAGATGGCGAACGTCTAGTCGCCCGGGAAAAGTTTAGGATTGCTCCACAACCGTTTATAGGTGCAATTGGAGCCATCGATTGCACTTATATAAACATTAAAGGGTCAAAAGAGCACGAAGAAGCATACGTGAATCACTGGGGTGACCATACTCTCAACGTTCAAGTGGTATGTACTACATCAAATAAATATTTTAATTAGTAAGTAATTTCATCTTATGTGAAAATTTAATTATTAAAAGTTTTAATTGTTATATCTTTAATTTTTGTAAAAAGTTTTAAAATTTTAATATTTTTAATTTAGTTCTAAGATTATAAAACTTTTGATTTTAATTTATTTTATATTTTGCTCATAATTTTAATTTATTTTATATAAATGTATTTATAAAATTTTTAATTAATAATATTTTTCCTTACGAGTAATGTATATGTAATTTAAGTACCATATAGTGACATAATCGTTTAATATTATTATTTCATGGACATTTTAGTTTGGTTTTATTGGTAGTTTATATTTTAAATGTATATAATATATATATGTAATATAATATTTAATTATACTCAATGACACTTTAATTACGCTTAATGACATTTATAAAATACTATACCTTTTTAAAATATAAATATGATATATACATGTAAGAAATAAATATTTTCATGTTATTCAGATCTGTGATCCTGATTTAAAAATATTGAATGTAAATGCGCGATATCCAGGTGCACGACACGATGCTTATATTTGGTCAAATTCTCCTATACGACGTATAATGGAACGAAGATATAATAATGGAGAACGCAATACTTGGTTAATTGGTAAGCTAAACGTAATTACGAAATAGTAATAATTAAAGCTTTTGGTCTTTCATGTCGAATTAAAGAATGATTTGGGATAAAAGGGTCTGTTTGATGATGAGACTTTCATTCGCCGCGTAAATTAAAATCGAAAAATACATTCGATACGTATGTTAACATTGTTAGACAATATTATCTTTCCAAAAAGTTTTAAATATTCCTATCATTGCCGTAACTGGCTGTTATTAGCCTTACTTGATTGTATATCATTAGAACCTTTGCATTTTGTTATTTTAAAGTTTTTTAATTTTATTATTTTTTATTATTTCATTACATTTCATTCTTATTTTATTACATATTATCATCTTATTATTTTATTATTAACAGGTGATGATGGATATAGCTTAGAGCCATGGTTAATGATACCTCTAAAACATGAAATACCAAATACACCTAGGTTTCAATATAACGAGGATCTGTGCAGCGCTAGATCGTACGTGGAACGTCTATTTGGCATCTGGAAATCCGTGTTCAGGTGTTTATCTGCCCAGAGGCGCTTAATGTATGAGCCAGGTATGGCTGGTAAAATTATTAACGCATGTGCTGTGTTACACAACATGAGGATTGCTCATCGTATACAAGACGAAGAATTAAATGAAATGCATGAAAACTTGCATCACGTTAACAGACCAAATAGAGCTGTGGAGTATGACGACAGAGGTTATGCATATCAAGGGCGGGCACTTGCCATACGTATTCAGGAGAGTTTTATTGCTCGGCATTATGGGAGAATATAAAAAAAATTATTTCTCTAAACACGTACATAGTTATTATTTAAATTCTTTTGTATTACATATTGTATTTGTATTATATATTATATATTATATTATATATTATATTATATATATTATAATTTTGAAATAAACAATATATCTATAATATAAAGTGTGTAACATTTTTAACCATAACGTATAATAAGTTATAAAGATATAAAAACGTTCTTATATTATGTGATTATGACGTATTAATTGAATAGTATTTTTTCCATTAATTTATGCATATTATCTAAAGTTGTAATCAGTTTTTCGTCTACTTCTAATCTTCTTTCCTCCATTAAAAATCTTTTTTCTTCCAAGGTGTTCTGTACACGTACATTTTCTGCTTGCATCATAGCAGCATCAGCTTGCTGCATTGAAGCCTCCGCAAACAACTGTAACAAAAAATATCTGTTATTATGAAATTAACAATTTCTTTCCACTTTAATGTTTTAGATTACTATTAATTATTACTTGAAATTTGTCTTAGTTCAGATTAATCAATTTCAAATTTAAATATTTTATTTAAATCATATAATACATGCAACATTAAAACTATGACGAGTTAAAGAACTCTAAATTTAAATCAAAGTATCTCAGTATCCTAAGTTTAAATAACAATTATTATATTGATTTAATTTAACAAACATTAAGCAACACTTATATAACTGTTACTTATAATTTCCCTTACTAAACAATGTTATTGCTACATAACATGCACGTTATATTGCATTCACGTTGTTAAGTGTAAAATTTTAATTAAATTATGTTACTGTTACTTGATGTTTGTTGCAATGGAATTAGAAAGGAGAAAATGCATGCTCCAAATTTCTGTATATGACATTGAGATAAAGAAATATATTCACAACTTGTAATAAACTAAGCACACTTACTAAATACTACGAACAATTTCCTTTTGTTCTAACAATAAATTGCCGTAAAATTATCATGATATACAATACTTTTTAACCTATTTTTCTCATTCTGTAACGTTAATTTAATAGTAACTTACTGATTATTGGAGCAAAAAGAAAATATTTGTAATATTTTATAGTGTACTTAATCAATAGTATCTGTTATTCTTGTGATATATTTCTTTATTTTAACGTACTTTGGGATTTAGAGCATCTTATCGCTTCTAATGTCACAATTATAATTACATCACAAAAAAGATTAGTTTTAATATACTTTATGCAATAATAAAAATGTTACCTGTAGAGCTCTAGCGTGATTTTCAGCAATTCTGTAAATTTTTCTCGAGCTTGTTGCAGCTCGACACTTATACGTTTACTACTTCTCTCTGCAAAAATAAGTAAATAAAAAATAAAAAATAAATATCTTTTTGAAATACATAACAAAATATTACATTTTAGAAGCAAACATGTGTCACATTGGAATATAATTCCTGTGGAATATACAAATATAAATATATACTCCACATTATATAAATTTACACTTACTATTATATATTTCCTTCTTTTTTTGTTGCAGTCACTTTGATGTTGCTTTTTTTAAGCCTGTCGGCCTTTTCGTTGTAGTGTCTTCATTATTTAAACATTGCATAACATCATTATATGTCAAATCGTTTTCGTTACTTGTATTAGTCTCCATTATTTCAAAAACGTTATCTAAACACGTATGTATTAAGAAGAAATATAGTTTGCAATATATAGAATATAATAATAAACTTGAGTTTATATGTCATTAGATTATTATGTAACAGTATGCAACAAACATCAAATAATAGTAACATAAATATTAGTTATAATTTCCTATTCAACAATGTAAATGCGATGTAACACGTGTGTTGTATAACAGTTTCATTGTTGAGTGGAATAAACTGTTATATAAATATTATTTTATATTTGCTAAGTATAAAATGTATATGTAATAATTTCTTATTGTATGTATGTGCGTATATGTATATGTGTGAATGCGCGTGCATGCGTGTAAGTATGAAAAAAGAGTATCCATGTGTAATAGAATGAGTGAGTGAACCATTACCGATATCTGCGTTTCTTTCCAAATTCAAAATTTCACTTATAGACGTCGTCTCTGGTGGAATGATTAGAACATCATCGTTCCTATGTTCTAGTTGAAGTTGATGTTCCTAAAAATATATATAAAATATATTCCTATAAGGAAATACATTAAATAGCATTAAAAATACTTATATATTACTATATATATTACATTGTACTATACATTTGTTCTTTAATACTGCATTGGAACTTTGTACTTTTTCTTTCCAGTGTTCAAATATATACTTACTTCAATCCAAATGCAAAAAGTGCAATATAATGTAGTGAAAATTAACTTCATATTTACAAAAAAAACGCAATACAAAAGTATTTATTTACCAGGTGTGTCGGTAATACCGGTTTTTTCGCTAAAGAAAACACGTTATTTACAATGGATAGTTAAAATATATTTATTCAAAATATTGGCCATTTGATTCTATACATTTTGCCTATCTCTCAGGCAATTTATGGATGCCATTTCAAAAGAACTGTTTCTCCTTAGAGCTAAACCATTCATCGAGCCATTTTTTAACTTCTTCGAAATCGGCGAAGTACTGCTCTGCAAGCGCGTGCCCCATCGATGCGAAAAGGTGATAGTCGGATGGAGCTAGGTCTGGAGAGTACGGCGGGTGCGATAAAACTTCCCATCCAAGTGATTTCAACACTTCTTTGACTGGTTTTGCTGTATGACGCGGCGCGTTGTCATGCTGCAAAATCACCTTATCATGTCTTTGAGTGTATTGTGGACGTTTTTCGATCAATGCACAGTTCAAATTGATCATTTGTTGTTGGTAGTGATCAGTATTAACTGTTTCTCCAGGTTTCAACAGTTCATAATATACGACACCAACCTGGTCCCACCAGACACACAGCATGGTCTTGCGACCAAAGCGATTTGGCCTTGCAGTCGATGGGCCGCCTTCGCCAGGTGATAACCATGATTTTTTTCGCTTGGGATTTTCGAAATAAATCCATTTTTCATCACCCGTTACTATTCGATGCAGAAATGACTTCCTTTCATACCTTTGAAGCAGCATTTCACTGACGATTTTTCGATTTTCCAATTGCCTGTCATTCAATTCATGTGGCACCCATCTTCCCATCTTTTGGATCTTTCCCATCGCTTGTAATCATTCACAAATTGCTACTCGGCTCACATTCAACTTTTCTGCCAATTGTTTTTGAGTTTGTGTTGGGTCTTCATCCAATAACTCCTGCAATTCTGCATCTTCAAACGTTTTCGGCCTACCAGGATGTTTTTTGTCTTGAACGTTGAAATCACCACATTTAAATTGTCGAAATCACGTTTCACATGTTCTTATGGTTGGAGCATGCTCACTGTAAGTCTTTACCAGCAAATGATGACTTTCAGCAGCTTTTTTCTTTTGATTAAACAAGAAAAGTAATGCGTGCCGCAAATGCACGTTTTCAGGCACAAAACTCGACATTTTCAAAAAATTATTAATCTATAACGCTGTTATTTTGGCGGAACGTAACTTGTGTAGTTTTGAGGTTAATGTCAGTAGAATAAAATGACATATGTATCAAATCATAACATTGCATATTTATGGCTAGTGAAATCTGTTACAAAAGCTGGAAAGTAATTACCGACATACCTGGTATATAAGTAAAGAAATATGAATGTACCTCTTGTTCTGGAGTACTGTCCGGACAATCATGTGCACCTTCAACATATTGTAGCTCCATACAGGCAACAATACGTTGTTGCAAATTATCGAGACTTTCTGAATTCATTGGAAAATTTCCTGTCCGATTCCTTTCATAGCGTAATTTTGCTGCTTTCTTTGAAGCGTTACTTTTTAAATCACGCCAAACCTAAAAATTACATGAATATAGATAATAATATTATATTCTTCAAATATCATGTCAACATTACTATAACTTTATCAACAATAACATTATATTAATATTATTAATTCCCACTCCAGCAATGTAAATGCAATATAATGTATTAAATTGCTCAGAGAATCTGTAGATAAAATTAAAGTACTAATAGTAGCATTTACTTAGTACTAAAATATTAAGTAAGTAAAATTAAAGATATATTATTAACTAATGTATTAAGAATTTTCATGAAATACATGTCATGATCAAATACTTACTGTCTGCCACTGCTTTGATGTTTTCTTATTGCCTGCAGACAATGCATTAAGCATTTCTGCCAACTGCTCCCATTGTTAAGCGTGATGGATTTTACCATCTTTAGTTAAATATTTATTTGTGGCAAATTCTGAATGTGACTCCATATATTTTACCAATTCTTCATATTGAGCTGTCGTCTTTACTGAACGACTTTTCTTCAAACTAAATAAAAAAACATTTAAATTTAATTTTATACAAAAATATATATCGTACGTAAATATCATAAAACTATAACACATATAACACATATACAATAAGATAAAAATACAAATATTATCCCAACACAATAAATTGAAACAATTTTTTATTAATATATACTAATTTTTACCCACATACCACTAAAAATATTGCAAGATCTGCAGGCAATATAAACAGAATAAAATTTATTGTTTCGTAACCAAGTAAACACCAATCGACAGTAATATCAATGTTAACATTTCCTATTTAATAATGTAAATGCAATATAACATATATATTATTTTGCATTTACATTGTTAAATGGAAAATAATAATATTGATGTAATGTTATTGTTGATTAGTATTTATTGAAATTACTGACATGCATTTTAAATATATATACAGCAGATTTTTACTCTATTTTTACCATCAATTTTCTGTTGAATGATTTGATAAGAAGTTAATGAAGTAGATGTCTTTAATATTCATTTTGTTCCTTAACGATAAGTAGCTGCCATCCTTTTCTTCAACAGAACAATATTAAAAATATCAACACATATATATCAACACAGAAAAGTTATAATATAGAATCATTATTAGTAGGAAACGTTTAATTTATCCTATATTATTTCTTTCCCGTTTCTTATTATATTTTTTATACACTTACATTTCTTTTGAATTCATTTTGTTCTATTCTTTCACTCTATTCTTTCACTCACTATATTATTATCAATACTAACTTCTGATTCGACTTCGAATTCTGATTCAATAAATGACTCTGAGCAGAACTGTTACACTCTATCTTCTACGCTAGTCAACGATTATGAAAGTAAAAGGAAAACAGGGACAACATGTACGCAGTCCCACGTCCCACGATCAAAAACGTACGTAGTTACGGGAACCACATCTGACCGCCATGGAGGCGTACAAAAAACTAATACCAGAGAGGAACCTGAGAGCGGCCAACACGGCATTTTCGGCGACACCGATTTCTCGCACTGGAAATGGGCGCTATCTGCATCCATTTTGAGAGAGGAACTACGATGCTACATCCACTTTTAGGTCTCGACGGTAAAACCTGCATCTGGTGGCTGTCTGTGCTACATCCACTTTCAAGCGGTTTATGTCCGTGCTACAACCATAATAGCGTATTTGACAAGCACGGTCTCGCGCATTGTTATGCGTATATTTGTAACATGAATTAACATGTTAACATGCACAAAAAAAATAAGAATTGAGATTGTACATGATTAATATCATGAAGATTATATACGATTTATATCGATATATAAATATATGATAATAAGATAATATTTTGTGTGTACCCAAAATTATTTTTCCAGAATATTTCAGCGTTACGTTAGTATTTATTTATACTCCGGCAGGCGTTTTTTAGCGCAGTTATGTCCGTGTGCATGTGTTGCATTGAAAGTGTGCGTGACGTACGTGTGCATATACGCACTCACACACACACACATACACACACACATACGTGTCATACGCAACAGATAGAATCTCAGGGTATATGCTTAAACATTTTCAATTGCCGTACGTTTCTGTGTAAGAATGTAGTCGGCACACACACACAGAGAAACTGCTCCCGTCTATCCGTCTGAGGTCCCGCCCTCCGTTCGGCTTGTTTTGACGAGCCAAGCGAAAAAGAGAGAGAGAGAGAGAGAGAGAGAGAGAGAGAGAGAGAGAGAGAGAGAGAGAGAGAGGGAATGTGTTCGCTCCATCTCGCTCTGATTCGCAACGTTGCCGAGATTGTGCTTCCCGACACACGGCCGAGACTTGACGTTTCCCTCTCGGCGTGAATCCAACGAGATGATCAATAGCAATCGATTTCGACCAAACTTGTTGTGTCAATAGATTTGCATGACAAATTAACATTGCACTTAAAGATACGGCGTAGCATCGAAGCGTTTGCAAGAAAGTCGCGATTGAAAATCGCGACTGCTTCATGAACCAAATGAAGGAGCAGGTTTCTTAGAGAGTGTGGCTTGGTGGAAGTGCGCTAGGCTCGCGGGGTTTGAGGTCGGTGGTTTGCGTCCCCTTAGCGGTCGACGGTGTCTTTTTCCGCCAATCTTTTTTTTTTCATTTTTTAGGAAAATGCACGTGTTGCATACAACATACGTGTATTACAATCAATTTTTTTTCATTTTTTAAGAAAATGCACTTGTTGCATACAACACACGGGCATCGCAAGCATTGCACGTTTCGTTGATGACACTTCCTCTGAGACCCCGCCCTCCGCTCGACTTGTTTCGACGAGCCAAGCAAAAGAGAGACAGAGAATGTGTTCGCTCCATCTCGCTCTGTCTCGACACGCAGCCGAGGCTGATGTTTGTCTTTCGGCGTGGATTCGGTGAGGGGACGACTAATAGCAATCGATTTCGACTCGCTGCGTCGATAGACTTGCATGAATTAACATTGCATGTAGATCGGCGTTACTTTTTTTCCATTTATTTTTATTTTTTTTTTTTACGTGGGGAAATCCTCATGGACACCCCGACTCCTTGCCGGGGTAGTGCCGAACTCTTACCGGCTAAAACCTCACGGTGACTTACCTTTGGCGCGATGTTTGAGAGACCCTCCCGCGCCTGTCTATATATCAGGTGTAGTAAAAAGAAATCCATTATTTTTGCATGAAATTGAAGGCTTTAATTACTATAGTTAGAATGATCCGATTTAGGTCAAATATGCGCCGTTTTGTTCGATAACTTGTTGCTATTTTGAAGGTAATTTCATTATGCCTCTCTCATAGAAGCCCTCGTCCCTATTGGCAAAAAATTGAGACAGTCGATTTTCACAAGCCTCTCTTGAAGCGAATTTTTCACCAGCAAAATTGTTCGCCATGGATAGGAACAGATGGTAATCAGGTGCCAGGTCCAGACTATAAGGTGGATGCATAAGAACCTCCCAACCAAGCTCCCGGAGCTTCTGGCGAGTCACTATCGATGTGTGTGGCCTGGCGTTGTCCTGATGGAACACAATTCCTCTCCTATTGGCCAAAGCTGGCCGCTTCTGGGCGATTGCTTCCTTCAGACGGTCCAATTGTTGACAGTACAGTTCCGAGTTAAGAGTTTTGCCATAGGGGAGCAGCTCATAGTAGATAATTCCCTGCCAATCCACCCAAACACACAGCAAAACCTTCCTGGCCGTCAATCCTGGCTTGACCACCGTTTCCGCCGGCTCACCGCGATTCGACCACGACCGTTTTCGCTTGACGTTGTCGTAAGTGATCCACTTTTCATCACCAGTGACCAACCGCTTCAGAAATGGGTCGATTTTGTTGCGATTCAGCAGCGATTCGCAGATGGAAATTCGGTCCATGAGGTTTTTTTTCGTTAACTCGTGTGGCACCCATATATCGAGCTTCTTTTTGTATCCAGCCTTATTCAAATGGTTCCAAACGGTTTTTTATGCAATCTTTAGCTCTTGGGCAATCGAAACAGTGCTTACATGACGGTCGGACTCGATAATGTCCATGATTTTATCGATATTTTCGACAATTGGCCTTCCAGTGCGTGGTGCATCTTTGACATCGAAATTATCGGAACGGAATCGACGAAACCAAAATTGCGCGTGATTGGCTGTTACAGTATCAGGACCATAAACACTATTCACATTTTCAGCCACCTGGTTTGCGTTTTCGCCTTTATCGAAGAAAAACTGTAAAATATAGCGTATTTTCTTTTTGCTAGTGTCCATCTTTGATGCGCGCTTAAACAAAACTGAGTCAACTAATCACAAAACTGTCAGAAAAGTTTTTTTACTACGAAATCTGTGGGGACTTTGAGCTCCCCAAAAGCGCACGCATCCGTTTTCCGTGCAGCGCTATAGAGCGCGCGCAAGTGTCACTCGTGCGGGAAAAAGACCAACGAGCAGTAACCGTTGGAAGCGCACACAGAGCTCACGAATATACGATCGCTAGTTCATAGCTTAGTCATTCTTTCTTTGTCGTGTGTGACACCGCGATTTCTGCACGCGGTCGCGATTGTGCGAGAACGGGCAGGCAGGAGCATCGGCTCCGTTCGACACACACACATATACATATGAGTCCCGCTGTGGCTCATATGTCGTGCGAGCGCAGAGAACTATTTTTCTGTATTGTAGACGAATAAGTTGTACCTGTGACTCACGTGCTCTGCAGCTGGCAGGCACGTGCGCAATAAAGGGACCAAAGAAGAACACGCCTAGGTTAATTTAAGAACCTACCCTCCACTTGCATCGGCGAGAGAGCAAGAGGACACAAAAAACCTAAATTGGTGACCCCGACACCTAAAAGCGGTAACCGGACAAGATTCGCAGTGTAACAAAAAAAGAGAGAGACATTGTGCCATTCCAACGGACCTTCTGGCTGAGGTCACCTTGCCGACCGGGAAAAATTCAAACTTCCTAAAAATTGGAAACATTTGTCCGCATCGGGTGATCCCGCCGCCATCGGACAGCTTCGCCTAGAAAAAGGTCAGAATCGAGCTCTGATTGGTCGAAGACTCGGTGCTGTGCGCGTGGTAACCTTCGGCGCATGCGTGACGGACTCTGATTGGCTGAGACTCTGCTCTGCGCATGCAGTCATCGTGAGTGTGACACGTGCAGTTCCACAACGGTAAAAATTTTTGATCAAGTGCTACACACTCTTTCGCGCCTGTTTTGCATCGCGACAGCCGCACACGCACATTTCAATCAGTGCCTGAAGAAAAAACTGCGTACAATCGTATTCATTCCGTGAACCCGAACAGACACCATGTCGCTACATCACACCCCTCCGTCCAAGGGATCGGAGCAGCCACCCGGCACACCGGCAAGGCCAAGTCACATCGAACTACCTCACGGGAATGCATCCCAATTGGAGCCGCTCATTGACATGGGGCCTCCATTCAACGACAGTGTCATCGAATCTATCACAGCGTGTAAGATCGTTCCATCGTTTTGGAAACAGCAGCCTGCTCTGTGGTTCGCGCAAATAGAATTTTTATTTCAAATACATCGTATCCGCTCTGATGACGGCAAATATCACCTTGTCATCGGTGCACTCGACTCTGAAGCAATTCAAGAGATAGCGGACATCCTGACATCACCACCTGTCATTGACAAGTATGTCACCTTAAAAACGCAGTTACTTGCACGTTTCGCAGATTCTGCAGACAAGCAGCTCCACCGTTTATTCACAGACTTAGAGCTTGGCAACCGCAAGCCCTCACAACTCCTCCGTCACATGAGGACACTAGCAGGCGACCGAGTGTCACAGGACATCCTGCGAGTGCGCTGGCTAGCACTTCTACCACCCGGGATATAGCGAGTCCTCAAGATCCTTCGGACAACCTGCTTAGAGGACCTCTCAACAGTTGCAGACGAGCTCATGGAAGGCTCTTCTACACCCCAAGTTCTTGCAGTTGCTGCACCACATTCACCGTCACCAGGTAGACTGGGAGCTGCAGCCTCTGCCGACACCCAAACCATTCAGCAGTTAGGAGAAGCAGTAACCACCATGCAACAGTCCGTCGCACACCTGACGACTCTGCTCGAGCACCTGTTGCCTGCTGTTGTCCACCAAGGACAGCCCACCCAGCGTCAACGTACACATTCCAGGTCGCGCTCTCGTAACACTCAGCAACTAACCAGGCAGTGGTGCTATTACCACCGCCGCTTCGGTGCTGCTGCGAGACGATGCCAGCAGCCGTGCAGCTTTACACTCTAAGCTACCAATGCAAATGGCGCGGGAAACTGACGTCGCTGCCGTCGACACAGGCAATCGGCGACAGCACAACAGCGCCTAGTGAGAAAAGACTCCACGTTTTTGACAGAACCACGAATATTAGGTTCCTGGTCGACTCTGGATCCGTCGTTTCGCTGATTCCTCGGAAGTGCGTGCACAGGAAGCTCACTCCTACCGAACTACAACTATTCACCGCCAATTCATCAGCCATCTGCACAT